CCAGGACAAGTCACAGCACCACTTGTATTGAGCATTTGCTGTGAGCCTAGCCCTTTTCTAGGCACAATAAAGACCATCTTTGCCCTGCAGAGCTTGGGGAATGACAGAAACCTACATTAGCAACTGGAGAGCAAACAAGACTAAGACCACAGGCAACTGGATGTGAGAATGAATAATTCTAACTCTGGGTACTTTTGGTATCTGGAGAAAGGGCTTTGGGTTGAGTGGGAGCAGGCTTTGTGGAGATGACAGATTTGAGAAGAGGCTTTGAAGAGATGGAGGATTTATGAAGAGGTTGGCAAGCAAAGCTGTCCAGGGTGGGGAAGAGCCTGAGCAGAAGCAAGGGTGATGTCGTGGAGCGGGGAGGGGGCGTGAAGGGGTGTGTTGCGGAGGGGAAGAGATGACTGGATAGGCAAGGTGTGGCCAGCCTGATGAGTTTGTCTTGTACATAATAGAGACACTGTAGGCTCTCAAGCAAGGCATGGCTAATGAAAGCTTTGTATGAGGAACGTCACCATGATGGCATCCCAGGGCAGGAGCCAGAGCCCCAGGGCTGGGTGGGAGGCTGGGAGGAGTCACTGGAGCTGCCCAGTGGTGAACTGATGAAAGCCAGAGCCAGTGTCTGAGCCGTGGGGGTGGGAACGGGGTAGTCAGAGGGAGCCTCAGATAGAAAGACGCAACAACGCCACTTCTTCCTAGTGGTTAGTTACTGTACTGTCCTATGATCTTGGGTAACCAGGAGCCCTTCCAATGTTGAAGGAGGCTCTTCAGACTGAATGGGACTTCAAGGGTTTCGAAGCTGACTGTATTTGGTTATACAAGGTCTGGGATCTTGGGCTTATATTACTTTACTTTGGTCTAGTCATTCTCGAGGACTCAGTTTCCCGGTCTGTAAAATAAGGGGATTGGCCTCTGAGAACTTCCTGACTTACGGAGGATCAGGAAGAGAGGATTATGTTGAGAGCCTGGGGAGCATTCAGTGTGGGGTTAAAACACCACACTTCTCCAAGAAGGAGGGTGGAAGAAAGGTAGGTGAGTTACAAGACCTAAGTCATGAGCAGAAAGCTGAGGGGAAGCTCCTTGCTAAAAGCAGCCCTTCCTGGCCCAACCTGAACTGTGGTTCTAAGAGTTGATCCCTGACAAGCCCCACTGGTCTCTCAGGTAGAGAAACATGTCTCTCTGGACTCACCCAGACCTTCCACCTAGCTGTCCGATCCAGCCTGCTTTCTGGTTGAGGGGTCAGCTCTGCTCCCTAAAAGTTGAGCCGCTGGAATGTTCTGATTCATGAATCATCCCACTTGAGGCTGGAGTTTCCCAAAGACACATGAGATAACCAGACAAGGGGTGTGTGTGTGTGTGTGTGTGTGTGTGTGTGTGTGTGTGTGTGTTACTGTCCTTTGTATTCAAAGATGAGGACACTGCCAGCTGTGATCACTAGATCACTATCTGATTGTGAGGGTGTTACTGGGAGACCCAGCACAGGCAACAAAGCTTTCTGCCTGTTGTGGGCACACAACGCACTGCTCTCGCCTTCCGTTCTGGCTGCAGCTGCTCACCCAGGACCTGGAAGGGAGTGTTTGGAAATGTGTGGGGGCATTTTTGCTAGTTACAATGATTGAGAGAAGTTACTGGCATCCAGGACCTGAAGGCCAGGAGGACTAAACACCCTGCAATGCTTGGGACATCCTGCACAGGGAAGAATTGTCCTGCCCCAAATGCCAAGGGCACCCACATAAAGAAACACCGTGCCATTCAGTCATAAATAAAGACACCACATCATTCAGTCATAAAGCCTTCCTCCCCTCTGGGTGTCCCATCTTGAATCACACTCCTCTGTGTTTATAAAACATATTTAAGCCTGTTCTGTGGCTCTGAGGTGAGACCAGCGTGGGACTCTAAATACTGGCTTGTACCCCTTTCCTGGGCTGCCCTGGCTTCCTTGGTTTATCCCCCTTGTGTGCCAACCTGGTAGCTCCTTGAGGTATGGCTTGGGGGATGTAAAACCCTTCGGTCAGCTCCTAGAAGCAGCCAGCCTGTCTCCCACCTGAGTGTCAGGGAAACACTTGGTACCTGCTGAATAAACACTTAGGTCATGCACTGTCTCAGGCTCCTTACAAACATTAACTCATTGAATTCTCACAACAACCCTCGACATTGGGTACTATTATAACCCCAGTTTTACAAATGAAGAAACTGAGGCACAGAGCAGTTAAGCTGCCCAGGGCCACCCATCTGGCAATTGATATGGCCAGGATTCAACCCAGGCAGTCTGGCTCCAGAGTCTGTGTTCTTACCCAGTGTATCTTCCTCTGCCTTGAGTCTCAGCTCAGTGAGCTTTAGGAATGCACCTGAATTTCCACCATGGCACTGCCATTTCAGCCTTCTGGAAGAAAAGGGGGAAAGGCTCCAGGCTTCAGCTAGGTCACAGGCGGTCTGGGGAGGGATAGGGGCTCAGCCTGCCTTATCTGAGCCTTGGAGGGTCTTGGGGGGGGCCTGGCTGAGAGGAAGCACTTCTGCTTCTCAGAGTGCCAGCAAAGAGCCATGATGAGGGGACAGTCATCCGCAACAGTCCACAGCCACCATGTTTAGACACCACAGCCCACCACTGCCTGTGACACAGGAGCTGGGCGGGGTTCCCAGGAGTGGATGACACCCCTGGGGTGTGGCTAATGGGGGGGCTGGGAGATGCAGTCCCCTGGGGCTCCTTGGCCTCCCCACCACACCCACTGCCTGTGGGCAGCCCACCCTTGCTGAAACTTGGCAGAGATGCCAACGCTCCTTTTCCCAGCACAGAGAGCAAAGCCCAAAGCCTCCAAAGCCTCAGTCAGGCTTAATCAGCATGATCACATTGCACTGGGTTGGGGCCTGGACAAATGTTTGGACTTTTCATCAGGTGTCAGAGATGATGTCCAGGAGTGTCATTTACTGAGAACAATGTGCTCCTTGTGCATTTCCACTTAGTCATCGTTTGGGAGTGCTTGGCTGCCGTCCACAGTGCCAACTGCCACTTTCTCCCCTGGGAGGGGAACAAAGGTGAGGAGGGTGTGGCCATGGCCCTAGCACCAGAGGCTAAGTGCATATTTGGCAGGTAATCTACAAGGTGTGCATTCCACGTCCAGATGCCCAGTCCCTCTTCCTCTGCCTTGTTACTGTCTGTTCTTGCCTCCCCTGATGCCCACATGCCAGTTCCCTTTGGGGTAGGTTGGTTTGACCTAGTTTGGGGGAGACAGTTGTGCCTGCCTGAGTGCACAGCTGGGTGTGTGGGCTAAGGAGACAAGCATGCTGTTGCCAAGGTTAACAGTTTGTGGCTCCTGAGTTTGGTATGCCATTTCTGACTGGTAGCTTGACACGCAGTCTTCCTGGGAGCTTGAGCCACGGGAGGTTTCCTGCTCTTTAAGACTCTCCCTGCAGAGATAAAGGGGAGCTGGCCAAGGGCAACTCCCCAGCCTGGTGTGGGTAGAGCTGGTATGGAGGGGAATTACCCAGTTGCCTCACCACCACCCCCTACACAAACACACACACACACACACACACACACACAAGTACTCACTCATGGGGTGGGGCGGGCAGGCTCCAGACTGCTGGGCTTGGCCCTGGCTCATCCCAGGAAAGGTGAGCCCCAAGTCAGCACCTGTGTGGAGACATTTTATCAGGCTCGATGTTGATCCTCTAGTCTGGAACAAGTCAGAGCAGGCCAGACCCACCGGCCTACGAGCTCTTGGGAAGGTCCTCCTCGGACCATTGCTTTCCGGAGCTAATTCCCACCAAGTCCCAGCTTCGCTGGTGCTTTCTTCCCAGGGAGGGGCTGACTTCCAGGTGGGCTCACACGGAGCCCCGTGGGGTGCCTAGGTGTCTATTGTGTGTTCTGTGGGAGTGGTCCTCTGCCTAGCAACCCCCACCCTTGCCTGCAAGCCTGACCATAAACCCATGGAGGCCCTTACTGGCCCCACCTGCAGGCCCCCAGCTGCCCCCACGTGTCCAGGTGTGCCCAGAACAGAGAGTTCTGTAAAAGAGGGCCCAGGGATCAGGGTTATTTTCCTTCTTTGGCCTTTGAGGATTTCCCCATCACAGGTCCTGTTACCATTTGCTTCTTGCCCTGGCAGAGAGAAGACAAGCTGAGGGGTTTAGCAGAGAAGTAACAGTGGAAAAGAGTCCCTGGGTTGTCAAGTTAACACGCTAGGCTGCTAACCAAAAGTTTGATGATTCAAGTTCACCCAGAGGTACTTCAGAAGAAAGTCCTGGTGATCTACTTCCAAAAACTCAGCCGTTGAAAACCCTGTGGAACACAGTTCTGCTCTGACACAAATGGGGTCGCCATGTATTGGAGCCAGCTCAACAGCAACTGCTTTTAGCAATGGAAAACAGCCTTCCGCCATACCAGGAGTTTCCGTGCACTGAGGGCAGGTGGCATAGGAAGGCTAGTTGTGTCAGAAGCTGTAGGCATCTGGGAAGAGCACGGGCGAGGGCTTGGAGACCCGGGCTCTGGTTCACCCTCCCCTCCCCAAGTGACTGCTGGAAGGCCCCTCTTCTCTCTGGACCTCGGACTCCCCTCCTTGATGGTGCCAGTGTGGGACCAGATCAGTGACGGTCAAACTTTTTTAATTGTAACCCACAGTAAGAAATATGCTTGACATTGCAACCCATGTTGTTTTATAAGCCAGCACTTGTCTTTACTACCTGCATTGCACTCGGATATTTTATTTTCCAGGAGATTTTCTTTTTTTTTTTTTTTTTTTTTTTTTTAGTGATAGTCACAATCCACTAAATTGATTTCATCATCCACAATGGGCCATGACCTGCAGTTTGAAAAATAATGTATCAGCTAATGACTAAGGTTTCTTCCACGCCTAACATTCTGGGATTCTGGAACATTTCCAGTAGATAATCCAGAAGCAGGATTTCTGAGGGGGTTTGGGGGTGGACTGTCTCCTGGGGCCAGCTGGATTCCAGGATCCCTGGTCAGGAAAGTTGGCTAAGACTTTCTCCCTTTCCTTGCCCAGATCTACAATGGGACCCTCAAGCGGGAGTCGGACAACAGGCGCTTCAGCTCCTACAGCCAGGTGGAGAACTGGGGCCGGCACTACCCCCGGGGCAGCTGTGCCACCACTGGCGCAGGCAGCGACATCTGCTTCATGCAGAAAATCAAGGCAAGCCGCAGCGAGCCTGACCTCTACTGTGACCCTCGGGGCACCCTTCGCAAGGGCACACTGAGCAGCAAGGGCCAGAAGACCACTCAGAACCGCTACAGCTTCTACAGCACCTGCAGCGGCCAGAAGATGGTCAAGAAGTGCCCCGTGCACCCGCCTTCTTGCCCCTCCAAGCAAGACCCAGTGTATGTCCCGCCCATCTCCTGCAACAAGGACCCGTCCTTTGGCCACTCAAGGGCCAGCTCCAAGTGAGTGCTTGCAGGCTGGAGGGAGGGGCCAGGGCGGGGTCAGGTGGGAGGCAAGCCTTGCAATTCTACAAGGGAGCTCCCAGGATATGGTGAGAGGGACAGCCTCTGCCCTTGGGGAGTCCCTAACCTGATGGCCCCTGCCCTCAGGAGGCTGTCGGTGTGAAGGGGGAGACAGAACCCCAACACTGAAACAAATATGTTGAGTATGTAGGTTTTGGAGCCCTGGTGGCGCAGTGGTTAAGTGATACAGCTGCTAACCAAAAGGTCTGCAGTTCGAAACCACCAGCAGATCCTTGGAAACCCTATGGGGCAGTTCTACTCTGTCCTCTAGGGTCGCTACTGGTCGGAATCAACTCAGCGGCAATGGGGTACATGTAGGTTTTAAAGGGTCACAGATTATGAGTAGAGTGAGGTTAATTAGAGAAAGATATCTAGGCCAGTCGTTCTCAAAGTATGTTTCCTGATTCAGCAGTATCAACATTACCTGAGAGCTTATTGGAAATGCTAACTCTTGGGCCCCATCCAGACGCACTGACTCAGAAACTTGGAGAGAGGGGCCCAGCAATCTGTGTTTTAACAAGCCCTCCAAGTGATAGTAATTCACTAGAGTTGGAAAACCTCCGATCGTGGGTATCCATGTTCTGAAAGAGTAGAGGACTGTGCCTTGGTATAGATGATGGGAGAGGGGGCCGTGCTCCAAGTTTTTGCACGGGTACACCCAAAAGACATGCAGGACAAATATACAAACTGAGAGACATGATCTAGTGCTAAGGAACGTAGCTCAAATCCTGTAAATGTTGAAGGGCATCGCCCAGTGGGAAAAAAGGAGACCAATCAGGGTGTTCTGTAAAGAGCCATGGACACTAGGTGGGTTGGAGACAGGGTGTCGTGAAAGATAGTGGGACTACTCTCGGGGCTCAGAGACTTATACCGAACCTGTTGCTGTTAAGCTAATTCTGACTCATGGTAACTGTATAAAGCAGAGTAGAACTTCCCTGTAGGGTTTCCAAAGCTGTAAATCTTTACTGAAGCAGACTGCCACATCTTTCTCCCACAGAGCGACTGGTGAGTTCGAACCATTGACCTTTCAGTTAGTAGACGAGTGCTTTAGCACTGTGCCACCGAAGCTTCTTCAGAGACCAATAGACTGAATTGTCCTTTATCACCGCCTAATGATCAGTGCTATTCATTAATCTGACAAGTGTTTACTGAGCATCTACTATGTACTAGGCTCTGTGGTTAGCGCTGGGGATACCACCACCAACTGGACAGACCAGTGCTGCCCTGGAGCTCTGAGAACTGCCTTAACCACTCTTCACTGAGCCCCAGGAGCTTCGCATTCTGTATCTCTAACCCTCCCAACCCCTTGGAGGAGGAATCTGAGGCACAGAGATGTTAAATAGCTTGTCTGAGCCCACACAGCTGACACCACATCCTGTGCTCTTCCCTATTGGTGCCACAGTGTTCTGAAAATAAGCAAAACCCCATTATAAAGCTAGACCTCTCCTAACTACCTGAGGCCATAAGGTATATTAGGATGATTTGGGAAAAGACTCAGAAATCTCTCTCCTTTGGAGACTGATCAGGGCAGCGTCTGGCCCTCGCTCGTTGCCCCACACCAGAGGCTCTGAGGTGTAGGTAAGACCTCCCATGGAGGGGATGGGTGACAGGCCATTTAGAGGTTTCCTATGACTGATGGATGCAGGGTGATGTTCTCTCAGTGTGAGGCAGGGATGCTACAAACCCAAGACCAGGAAGCTCTGCTCTTGGGTGATTTTTTTCTAGAAATGGATTTGGGTTGCCAAAGCTAAAAACCGTGACTATTTATTGAGCATCTACTATGTCAAGACATGAGGCCAGTACAGATGAGGAGAGGGCTATCTCTATAAATGCTGGGAGGACATGGAGCAAGGTAGGGCTGGGTGCCACGGAAGGGTTTGCCCCCAGCTCTTGGAGAACCCTCAGTCTCTATTGGAAACCAAGACACAGATGTGCAAAAAGGCAGCCCATGAATAATCAACATGGGGGCCAGAGGGGCTCCTGGAAGAGAGGTTTCATTTCCCTGGGAAGGCTTCACAGAGGAAGTGAGACTTCACAGCCTCGTGGCATGATTAGGGTCACATGGGTAGGGCGGAGAAGAGAATAGATTCTAGACACAGCCATGCCTGAGACCTCATCAGGGTACAGTGAAGAGGACAGTCTTGCCGGAGTGGACCCTTGTTGGGGGTGGAGAGTTTGCGAGAGGACACAGGGAAGCCAGAGTACTAGATTGAAACATATGAAATTTCTGGTTATGGGCTTCAAAAAATGTCGACCATTGGCCATTTCATATAGTTCAAACTAATACATGTCCTTGAATATCAGTCTAAGCAGTTCGAACTTGAATCTGCAGCATAGGGAAGTCACTGATGGTTTCTGAGCTGGGGAACAACACAAAGTGAACAGGGTTCTAGGGATGGTTGTCTGGTAAAAGACTGTAAAATTTGGAGTGGGGGTGCTTGGAGAATAGAGCCACTTGGGGGACTGTTACTGCAGTGCCTACAAGATTGATCATGGTCAATAGGAAGGTGGTGGCTGTAAGAATTGGAAGAAAGGAATGGATGTGAGAATTTTTGTATAAGAAGGGTCAAATAGTTTTGAGGGTGAGTGGGTGGATGGATGGATGGATGGATGGATGGATGGATGGATGGGTGGATGGATGGATAGGTAGATGGGTGGGTGGTGGATGGATGGATTGATGGATGTACAGATGGATGGGCTCATACCCATTCTCTTCCATTTTCCCAATACCAGGCACAAATGTGAGAGATGACAGGGAGGGTGGAGAGCTTCCCCTCAGTGAATAAAACAGAGTTTTTCCTCAGTGCAAAGGTAACTCACCTGCTTGGGTGTTAACCCATGACCAGGACCTTATCACTGCCAGACTTTTCTCTCCTCTGGAGGAGCTGTCCACAGGGTTGTTCTCCAGGTGAACTTGGGGCTGCCTTGTTCTAGCTCTCAGGAGGGCAGATGAGACTGTGGCACTTACAGTGTGCAAGGGAGAATTCTGAGCCTCAAAGCAGAGATCCCAGCACCCTGTGTAACCCACCTCCACTGCCCCATTCCTCTCAGGATCTGCAGTGAGGACTTCGAGTACAGTGGGCTGACCATCCCCAAGGCTGTGCAGTACCTGAGCTCCCAGGATGAGAAGTACCAGGCCATCGGGGCCTATTACATCCAGCACACCTGCTTCCAGGATGAATCTGCCAAGCAACAGGTAACTGGCTGCCACTTTCCTCCCTAGTAGGCCTGAGCAGGGTCTCATGATGTCAGCCTAACCCTGCATTTAGAGATGGATGGGAGCATTTGCAGTTGGCTCCTTCTCACCCCACCCAGCTGCCTGGGGTGAGGAGTATACTTGGCATTGCCCTAGATCAAAGCTGGGCATCTTAACCCTCCATGCAGAGCAGAGCCCTCTAGTTGACTGGACATTGCCCCACAGATGTGGAGCCAGGTGTGCTTCCCCCATTAGACGTGGAAGAGACACTTCAGTGACAGCCATGAGTTCAACAGAAACCACCTTTCTCAAACTCCACTGAAGAACATGACTCTCCACACCTTCCTCTCCCTCTCTGTCCCTCTCCCTCCCTCTCTCTCTCCCTTTCTTTTTCTATCTTTCCCTCCCTCTCTCTCTCTCACCATATTATGACCCCTTATCTCATCAGGCATCTGTGGTGGAAACATGGCTTTTCTATGCCTCCCAAATTTAGCTGGCAGGGAGGATACCCACAGGGCTCTGCAGTTCAGTCCAGTGCTGTAGTGTCATAAATGTGTTTCCTAGAGAGTCCGAGACTAGTTGAGCTACTAGGACTAGTAGAAGAAAGAGTTTCTTGGGAGGGCCTCCTTTATGTCTGTGCTTTGCTTTAGAATTTTAATGACTATTTATGTCCATTTTCTCATCTGATCCTCACTACCATACACCAGGGGAAGAAAGTAGGGTTCAGGGTAGAAAGTGACTTTCTGAGGGTCCCCCAGCTAAGATGCGGGGGAGCTAGGATCTGAACCCAAGTCTTTTGGCTTCTGGTCAGAGTCAGTTACCTCTGCTTCACACTGCTTATTTATTTTGGTTGACTTGGATGTTTCCGAACTGAGAGTAGATATATTTGGTCTGACAAAAAAATCCACTTTGAGTAGAGAATTTTAGATTAACTCTACCTCCCTTGACTGGGCGACATGGCAACCCTGTTCCGGCAGGTCTATCAGTTGGGAGGCATCTGCAAGCTGGTAGACCTCCTCCGCAGCCCCAACCAGAACGTCCAGCAGGCCGTGGCTGGGGCCCTGCGCAACCTGGTGTTCAGGAGCAACACCAACAAGCTGGAGACCCGCAGGCAGAACGGGATTCGCGAGGCCGTCAACCTCCTGAGGAGAACCGGGAGCACTGAGATCCAGAAACAACTGACTGGTAGGGACACCCAGCCACAGAGAGCCAGGGTGGGAGCTGGGCAGGATCACTGGCCATGGCCCCGAGCTGGGTGCCGGCAGTCCTCAGGGCTGGGCAAAGGCATAGCTGTGCAGATTTGGGCTCAGGCTAATATCCTAGGAGGACAATGGCGCTGGCTTTGCCCAGGTTAGTGTTGTACAGATAGTGACTCTGGGGTGGTATGCATACCCACAGGGGTCAAGGTCTTTTTGAGGATAGAGGGCAGGGAGAAGAAGGCTGATGTCCAGGCAGGGTCCATATTCAGCAGGCTCTGGGGTTGGCAGGTGATGTAGAGAAAATAAGGAGAGGGGCAGGAGGTAACAGGTCTTAAGCACCTACCCTGTGTACCAGAAACGGGCTAAGTTCGTGGAGTTGGGGGTGCAAGAGATAGAAGTCACCATGAGGCCCTCAAGTTGGACTGGGAAGATGAGACCATGTACAGAGTAACAATTGATAAGTAACTCCTGGAATGACTTTCAGGTGGAAAATAAAGAACACTAGAAGATTCTGAGTGCTAAAATGTATAGTATAACCATCCATCAAATGCCCTTTGATTACATTCCATGTCATAATTTTGACCTAAGTAGAGAATTCTAAGATGCTCCCTACTCTCAAAAAGCCTACAGTCTTGTTGGGATGTTGAGAAATAGGCTCATGTAACAATTGGACTTGGTAGACCAGGCCTACCTGGAAGGTGATGTCTCAGTAAGGCCCAGGCCGGGGGTGATAATGTGGTCCCTGGGGCCTTCCTGAAGCTGGCATGTGTTGGATTGACTGTCCCCAACCCCCAGGGTTGCTCTGGAACCTGTCTTCCACTGATGAGCTGAAGGAGGAGCTCATTGCCGATGCCCTGCCAGTCCTGGCCGACCGTGTCATCATCCCCTTCTCTGGCTGGTGTGAAGGCAACAGCAACATGTCCCGAGAGGTGGTGGATCCTGAGGTCTTCTTCAATGCCACTGGCTGCTTGAGGTGAGAATAGACGGCAAATGAGGTCTTCCTGCCCCCAGCCTTGGGCCCTTCCCCAGGCAGCCCCCTCTCAGCCAACATGTCACCAGGCCAGAGAACATAACCTTTAACCTGGTGCTGGTCCTCCGGGCAGGCTCCCAGACACAGGGATTCCAGGCATTCCTAACTTCCCTGGATATGTTAGGGCTTAGGACCCTGGGACCTCCTTTGAAGGAAACAGTGGACATTAGTTAGGAATCTAATAGTAGAAAGGTTTGGATCTACATTTTCATTCTGGTTCAACCATTTCTGCCTCCTCCGCCCCTGAAAAAATGCATTTCTTGTGCTATCTTGAAGAGCATCCTTTAGCCAAAAGTCTACTGATTGGCTGTTAATGAGTCACTTCTCAGCTGTGGTGCTGAATCCATTTGCCATGCTGGTTGGCATGGAGATGCACTTCTTTGTCCAAAGTTTCCTGAGTTCCACACCAGGGTGTGGCAAGTCCCTGGGGGGCTGTTGAAAGCGGGAATCTTGATGTGCTCATTCTAGAAGCTGAGGTTTATAAGCTGGAGGTGGCACAGGGGTGGGGTGAGTGCTGGAATGGGGATGAGGGGGAGGGGGAAGCGGAGCTGGATCCCTTTAGGGTCACCCCATGCTCTAGTGGGCTTTGTTGTCCCCAACTCCTGAGAACCCCCCAGAGTGGGGGCTGCAGTTGGCAAATGCTTCTGTGTCTCTATTTGTGCTTCTCTCTGAAGCCCCTCCGCCAGCCTTCAGCGACAGCCTCCAGGGAGCAGGGAGGCTGAGAGATGAAAAGCCTGTGTAATTAAGGACTTTATGGGGCTGTAGGGCTGTTGGGAGGAACACCAGCCACACCCCACCTGCACCAGGCAGAGGGGCCCAGACTGCTTGGGAAGGAACCTACTGCGGGGAGAAGAACACAACTTTGGTGGGAGGCGCATCTGGTCCCCAGCCCAACCCCGCCTCGCTCCATTCCCCCATCCAGCACCTGGCCCTAGCACCCAAGGGGCTTTTCCCGCCTCACAGAAAGAGACAGGAGCCTCCAGCCATGCTCACAAGCACCCACTAGTGGCAGATGTATGCCTTGGGTGCCAGCTGCAGCGGAGGCATAGGCAATCATAAAGTCACAGGCTGGGGAATAAGTGGGCAGAACCAGTAACCAGTTGCCATGGAGTGGGTTCCAACTCATGGCGGCCCATGTGTGTCAGAGTAGAACTGTTCCTCATAGGTTTTCAGTGGCTGATTTTTCCGAAGTAGATGGCCAGGTGTTTCTTCCAAGGCGCCTCTAGGTAGACTTGAACCTCCAACTTTTCAGTTAGCAGCCGACCATGTTAACCTTCTGCGCCAGCCAGGGACCACCCAGAAAGAAGGACAGAAAAGAACGGGGTTCAAACAGGAACCCATCTCAGCCTTCCCCGTTACTGGACAAAATTAAGCTAAATGATTTTTCTTTCCTTCCTTCTTCCTAATTTCTTTTCCCTTTTCTCTTCTTTATCCCTCTTTCTTCTCCTCCTCCCTTCTTCCTCCTACCACAACCTCCACCCCACCCTCTCTGCCTGTCTGCTCTCTTCCCTGTGTGCCCCCCTACCGCCACTCTCTCCTCTCCCCACCCTCTCTGCTCTCTCTCTCATCCTTCCCACATCCTCTCTGTCTGTCTGCTCTCGCCCGCAGGAACCTAAGCTCAGCAAACGCAGGCCGCCAGACCATGCGTAACTACCCGGGGCTCATTGATTCCCTCATGGCCTATGTCCAGAACTGTGTGGCGGCCAGCCGCTGTGATGACAAGGTGAGAGAATGGCCCCCTGGTGGCACCCAGCAACCCCTGCCCCAGCGCCAGCCCCGGCCCTCCTGTTGCCTGAGCTCCAAGGTCCAGGGCCTTGCCTCCAGTCAGTGAGGGCAGCTCCTTGGACTCCAGGTCCCGACATTTTTCTCTCTCAGACTCCACGAGTCAGACCTGCACTTTCTGGGTACCTTTGAGGTTTGGCCAGGTGACAGGACAAGAGCACAAAGATTGGGACAGAGCAGAGGGGACGTCTGTGTGCAGAGTGCTCTGACCCTTCCCACTGGCACCAAGGTGGTTGTCAGTGGTGCAGGCGCTGCAGCCAGCCTGTCCCAGTGACAGTCCTGTCTCCCTCACCTAGACACCTCATCTCTCTGTAACCTCAGTTTGGTCTTCCCTCAAATGGAGATGATCATAATAATACCTGCCTTATGGGTTGTCGTAAGGGTTTGATTAGTTAATAAGCAAAACTGGTAGAGGAGTGTCTGGCACAGAGCAAGTGTCAGTGAGCGTTTGCTCCCGCTGATACTAGTGGTGCCAAGCCCTGGGGAATCCACGCTGGTGCGCGAGGGCGGCCTCCGTGTCCTCCCCGACACAACCAGCCTCTACTACCGCTGTACCCCACTGCCTCCCAAAGAGCCATGGCAGAGCCACCCCTCGGCTCCCTGTGGAGTTTTGGACATACTGGCACAAACTAAAAGAAAGAGCATGGAGTGAAGGAAACTGAGAGCTGAGGTATTTCCACACAGCAGGACAGTGACCAGGAGTGGGACTTTTAGGAGTGGGAGGAGTGAGGTTCCACGGAAGCGTGGGCATCGCGAGCGCACAGGTCCTGAGCTCAGTTTCCCTCTGGAGGAATTTTATCCCCTGCTCCCTCCACTGGGAGCAACAACAGGGCCTCAGGAAAGAGTCGTGTCACTTGGCCGCTCGGCGTGGTCCCAGTGTGCAGCGTGCTTTTCTGCCCTGTGTGGAACATCTGCTACACCTGTGTAACCTCAGGCCCTGGATGTCAGATTCCCTCAAAACTCAGCAGCGGCCAAACCTCCTTAGAAGAGTAAATCTGCTGCCCCCGAGCCTCAGCCTGTGAGGCTGACCAAAGGAAAATGGCGGATCTGCAACCAGCTGTTCTCGTGAATTACTGGGTCCCAGGTTTCTGTTTGTGTGGACTTGGGATGGGCTAACACCTTTGACATTGGCAGCCAAGGACTGGCCATGAAAAGAGGGAATGGTAGGGGAGTGGGAACTCATGGCTTCTGAACCCAGAAGATACTGGGGCTGCTGAAGGCATTTGCGCCAGGAGGGAAGACAAGTTCTTCAGCATCCCAGTAGGCCCATCGGCACATGGTCCATAGCAGTAGTGACAATAGCCACTGTCTGTTGAATCCTACTGTGTAATGTGTGCCCCATTACAGGTACTTTTCATATATAATCCTCCCGATAGCCCAGTGAAGTAGATGATTTTAGTCCCATTTCACAGCTGAGGAAACTGAGGCCCAGAAAGGTGAAGCAAGTCACTTCTTAAAGTCACACAGCCAGGAAATGATAGAGTAGAGATTCAAACCCAGGTCCCAGGAAGTGTCACCAGGAGGTTTTTTCAGACTGAGGGCAGAGTGGGTGACCCATGCTCATCTGCTCCCTGTGCAGACTGAGGTGGCTGCCCCTCTCGTGTTGGTTCAGGGAGGGAGTGTGCCTGGGAGCCCCTCCAGAGCTGGGCAGAGGCTCAGGCACTGTGCTTCTGCTTGTTCCCAGTCTGTGGAGAACTGTATGTGTATCCTGCACAACCTCTCCTACCGCCTGGATGTGGAGGTGCCCACCCGCTACCGCCAGCTGGAGTACAACGCCCGCAATGCCTACACGGACAAGTCCTCCACCGGCTGCTTCAGCAACAAGAGCGACAAGATGATGGTGAGTGCTATACTTTGGCAAAGCCAGGGCCCGGGCCCCACCAAGCACCCCACCAGGCCCCGCTGCCTCATCCACCTTTCCTGTCAGCCCTCCTGGATCCTGAAAGCAGCCCTAGGGGACAGGCCCATCCCAAAGTCTTGGCCTTGGGATCGTTTGCACTTCAAGGAGCTGAGTACAGGGCATGGCCAACTTGCATATAGAAGGGGTCTGTGTTCTTGGGATTGTAGGAGCACAGACTACTCCAAGGTCAAAATCATCAACTGTGTTGGAAGGCCTCAGTCTCCCTTACTGAATAATGCATAAGGCCTTCCCCTGTCTTCTCCCTCACCCCTCAGGATTTAGGATAGCCAGAACTTTAACCTCTCTCCAGCCTCGGTTCCTATGGCCTGCTTTCCAGATGACACCCAAGCCCTCCCAGGCTTCCCCAGAGGCACAAGGGTGCCGTGGAGGGAGGATCAGGCTTCCTCCACCGTCAGGGAAGCGAGCTGGGCACGGCTGTGGAAGGCAGGCCCTGGACCACCCCTGCTGGCCCAGGGAGGATCAAGCTCAGGGTCTGACTCTGGAAAGGGAGGAAGCATCATGGCGTGAGACCCCAGAGTGGCCTCTCCCAGCTGGAAGGTTTGGACAGAGGCTGCCCGGGGCCACACTGCCGGAGATGCCAGCTGTGCTTTCAGCCTCCCTTGGACACAGTCCTGAGGACCATGGCTGCTTCTTTATTCCACGGAGCTGTCACAGTGCACAGAGGACGACGGTGCAGCAGGGGTGTCTCTAGGCTCCCTGCCTCGGTGGCCATTCTCCACCAGGGAGGCTCTTCCCCAGTACTTCCCGTCCAGGAAGCACTGCACTGGGGCTGGGGAGAAGGAGGCAGAATGCTTGGTTTGGACCTTCCCTCGGGGTTTCCCACTGACCTGCTCTTTGTCCCCAGAACAACAACTATGAGTGCCCCCTTCCTGAGGAAGAGACCAACCCCAAGGGCATCAACTGGCTGTACCACTCAGATGCCATCCGCACCTACCTGAACCTCATGGGCAAGAGCAAGAAGGACGCCACCTTGGAGGCCTGCGCCGGCGCCCTGCAAAACCTAACTGCCAGCAAGGGGCTGGTAGGAGAGGCCTCTCCTTCCCCCTGCTGCTCTCCCCGCTCCTGTAGCCACCAGCCAGGCTCTGCTTCTGGCTTTTCCCATGAAGTGCATATGGGCTTCAGAGCTTCATTCTGCAACAAGTGTAGAGCACCTGGAATATGCAAAGCTCTGGGCTAGGCATTGGGGAAGTAATGATGGAGCAGAAACGTCTCCGCCCTTAGGAACTCACGGGGGTGTACTGCGGGAGGACGCACTCCTGCGGATTGTCTGTGCCCACAGAATCTCCTTTGCCTTGGGCTCCTGCTGGAGTTCAATGCCCCCAGTGCCTGCTGGCCCTCCTGGGTTCTATGCCTGGGATCAGGAACAGCCATGAAGAGTGTGTTTGTGTCAGAGGGAGTGTCTTAGTTACCTAGTGCTGCTGTAACAGAAATACCACATGTGGGTGGCTTTAAAGAACGGAAATGTATCTTCTTACAGTTCAGGAGACTAGAAGTCCGAATTCAGGGTGTGACTCTAGGAGGAGGTCCTTGCTTGTCTATTTCAGCTTTTAGTAACTGCTGGCAATCCTTGACATTCCTGGGATTATAGGTGCATCTGCCTCTGTAGTCCTCAGATAGCGTCTGTCTTCCTCCACATCTGCATGCATCTGTGTCTACTCTCTCCTTTTATAACTCAGAAGTGATTAGGTTTAGGACACACCCTAGTGATACGGCCTCACTAACGTAACAAAGAAATCCATATTTCCAAACAGGGTTATGTCTACAGGTTAGGATTCCAACACATTTTTTTTTATTTTTTTTAATTATACTTTAGATGAAGGTTTACAGAACAAATAGTTTCTCATTAAACAGTTAGTACACATACTGTTTTATGACATTGGTTAACAACCCCACGACATGTCAACACTCTACCTTCTCAACCTTGGGTTCCCTATTACCAGCTTTCTTATCCCCTCCTGCCTTGTAGTCCTTGTCCCTGGGCTGTTGTGCCCCATTAGTCTCATTTTGTTTTATGGGGCTGTCTAATCTTTGGCTGAAGGGTGAACCTTGGGAGTGACTTCATTACTGAGCTAAAAGGGTGTCTGGGGGCCATACTCTTGGAATTTCTCCAGTCTCTGTCAGCCTCCAACACATATGCTGAGGGGACACAATTCAGTCCATAACAGGGAGCCTCCCATTTGCTGTACTGACTGGGATGGAAATAGAGGGTTTAGGGCATAGGCAGGTCTAGAGGCAGATGTGGCAGAATCAGCATAGATTTTGAGATCAAGTATAGTTTGGAGGGCATGATAGTATGGGGTGGAACCATAGGAGAGCTGCTTGCAATCCAAGAAGGGTTTATGTGGGAGCTATTCTTCATCTTCACTTAGGACAAAAGGGAACTGGGCAGCAGCAGGACAAGGGTGAATGAAGAGTAAAGAAGAGCTTTCCTGACTGTGAGGGTATGAGGCTGGTAGTCCGAGAGGACTCCAAACCAGCCAGGACCAGGTTAGGACCAGGGTGGCTATGTTGCTTGGAGACCCAGAGGAGTTGACCTACTTCCAGGCAATGCTGGATTATATCTTCCTGTGGACCAAGACCCTCTCTGATCCATCTTTGTCTTGGCCAAGCAGTCAATACATGTATATTGAATTCTACTGAGGTAGGGAAGTTGGAAGGGGTCCCTGGGTGGCACAAAGAGTTAAGCACTCGACTACTGGCTGAAAGGTTGATGGTTTGAACGCACCCAGAGGTGCCTCAGAAGACAGACCTGGAGATCTGCTTCTGAGAGGTCACAGCTTTGAAGACCCTATGGAGCAGCTCTACTCTGCACACATGTGGTCGCCATGAGTAGGAATCGAGTCAATGGCAACAACAAGTTGGAAGAAGCAGAGGCTTAGCAAGGATAACAAGCACCCAGGGGCAATCTCTAAGTTTGTGCCCACCCCTAGCCTCGTATACGGGAGTAGGGGGTGGAGGGGTGATTCTCTGGCGTCCCCTTAGATTTGCACCTGGGAGCAAATGCCCCGCTCTAACCCCCACTTGCTATGCCTCTGGGAAGAAGATGGGCAGATCTTCTTTAATTGACAAATGTTCTCAACTGCATGGTTTCATGAGAGCAGAAACTCCCGGGAGACAGAGGTAAGGGAGGCAGAGCTGAGATAGAGGGGTGAGGAGTGAGCGGACCTGAAAGCTGATCCTGGGTCACCCACAAATGAGCAAACTGGGGTTTCCCTCTCACCACCCACCTGGGCTCCAGGCTTACCCAGGGAGCGGGGATCAGGGTCAGGAAAGAAGAAGGTGTGTTTTGGCCTGGTGTTGTGTGGTTTTCCCTGTGTAAGCAAAATTTTGTCTGTCTCTGCCAGTGCTTCCAACACAAAAGAGAAGAAGTTCCAGGACGTCTTTGTTAGGGATTATCTGCCCCTCTTCTGCCCTCCATGTGCCTGGGAAGCCACAGGCTAGGTTCTCACTTGGTCCTTCTTTCTTAGATGTCCAGTGGCATGAGCCAGATAATTGGGCTGAAGGAGAAGGGCTTGCCGCAGATTGCCCGCCTCCTGCAATCTGGCAACTCTGACGTGGTGCGGTCTGGAGCTTCCCTCCTGAGCAACATGTCCCGCCACGCGGTGCTGCACAGAGTGATGGGTAAGTGCCACCTCCATGGGTGTCAGGACCACCCATCTCTCCTACCTATCTAGAGGAGGAGGAGACCCCCTTTAGGTGCCCTCAGCAGATCCCCCACTTTCCAGAGCCTGCTGGAAGGTCTAGATCTCTACCCATGCCCTGGGATGAGCATTCCAGGAGGGGAAGCAGGCCCAAGAGAGGCTGGAGGTAGCAAGGAGCAGGTCACCTGTAGAGGATGGGGAGTAGGTTAGCAGAGTCCCACCTGAGTCTCAAACCCCTGATTTAGAGCCAGAGTGAGCCTTGGTGGGCCACCTTGCTCAGAAGCTGGGTGAGAGCAGTCCAGGACTGTGGCCCCAGAAGGAACTCCATAGTCCTTCTTTCCCTTGGTCATCCTGACCCATGCCTTCTACTCCTTTTTTCTCCCAGGGAACCAGGTGTTCCCAGAGGTGACCAGGCTCCTCACCAGCCACACTGGCAACACCACCAATTCTGAAGATATCTTGTCCTCGGCCTGCTACACTGTGAGGAACCTGATGGCCTCCCAACCACAGATAGCCAAGCAACACTTCTGCAGCAGCATGCTCAACAACGTCATCAACCTGTGCCGCAACAGGTTGTGTACCCTCCCTGACCCTTCTCCACAACACAGCCCTCCTCCCTGCAAAGCAGGCACCAATGAAGAGCAAGAAGCTGTACCTAGTGCAGGGGTGGGGAGCTGGGCTGGGGAGGTTTGAATGGAAGAGAAGTTCCAGAAGCCGACAGTGCTGTGAAGATAAGAGTCCAGCATCCAGGGATCAGGGCTGCACAGTGGGGATGGAGGCAGCTCAGTTCTTGGCTGGGGGACTCTATGGAGCACTGGGTCCTCAGAGGGCCAGCAGGAGGCATGAAACTGTAGAGCCACCTGAGTGGGAGCGCTGTTCTCCTCCATAGGGCTCTGTCCTCCCAGAGCAATGGCTGGGGGCAGAAGTGGGAGAGCACGTCCCCCCAGGAGTCCCCCAGGAGAATCCTGAGTGCCTGTACGTGGGCAGGGGCGTCAGGCTATGCCCAGTGTATAGAGTGACTAGAGGTCTAGATGCCCCAATGGGGATCCCCTCTCATGTACCCTTGGGGTCTCCCACGTCTCCAAGACCTGGTCGTGAGGGTAGGAGGGTGGAGGGTGCACCATCTCATGCCTCACAAATGGACTTCCCACCCACCCAGTGCCTCCCCCAAGGCTGCAGAAGCTGCCCGGTTACTCCTGTCTGACATGTGGGCCAGCAAGGAACTGCAGCCTGTCCTCAGACAGGTAAGAGCCCATACCACCCACCCCGTCCAGCTTCCCCTGCACTGAAGGCCTAGAGGAACAGGAAGGAGAGGAAGATCAGCCAGTGAGACAGAGAGTTGGGGAAACAAATGTGTGTGACAATAAAGGTGACCGTTGGGATCTAAGAGGGATGCCCAGCACAGAGGGCTGAGGGAATCCAGGAAATCTGTGAGCAGCCTGGGGGTGGGGTCCTGTAGAAGCAAACTGCAAAGCAGTGTGGACAAAAGGCACACCATTCATTTGGGGGCTTGAGGTATACACTGGCTGGGAAGGTAGGTTTGGGCTGTGTTACAAACCCCTTTAATTTCAGACTAAAGAGCTTGGACTTTTGCCTTTGGCACTGGGGAGACGCTGAGAGTTTTGAGTCGAGGGTTTCATGATCAAAGCGACACTCTAGACAGACGAGTTCCATGCCCGTGTGCAAGGCAGAGCAGACTGGGAGACCCTAGAGGCTACTGTGGTTGTCCAGGTGACCTTGGTTCCTCTCTGTCCTCAATGCCTTCAACCTGACCGGTCACAAAGTCCCCTAGCAGGTCTTGTTTATAAAATCTCTTGCCACTGGACCTTCTTTCCCATTCCTGGAGCAGCTGTTCTTCGGAGTGAGATGTAGGCAGCCGTAAGGATGGGAATAAAGGGCAGGAGGTGGGACAAATGGAGTAGTACGACTGACGATGCTGGAGCTTTGACCTTGGAGGCACTGTGGTTACATTAACGGGAATAGATACGTTGAGGAGGGGTCGAGAATGCTTTTGATGGGGAGAAAGAGGAGTTCCAGCGTTCTTTTCCCTCAACACCATGGTGAGTGTGGGCTTGGCTAAGGGACAGCTGCTAGGAAAGCCAAGTAGAGTGAGGCCGGTGAGGAGGATGGGGTGAGGGTCTTCTCATGCTCTCTGATGGTGGTCCAGAGGGTTCAACTCACTCCAAAATGTAAATAGAGACCACACCCAGCCTAAGACACGCATACAGAAACCAGTTACTACACTCTGGGTATGAATTCCCTCCTGTGCAGTGCCTTTGGGAAAACCAACTTCCTCATTCAGTCTCTACTTCTTCTCCCTATACCTGTGCTTGACAAGAGCCTCAATGTGCTCTAGGTTGGTGCTCCAATTCCCAAAGCACCTTCCCATCCATCATTCATTGGGTTATCACAACCACAGGTGAGGCAGGCCTGCTTGGCTTCTGTCCATTTTGCAGAATAGGGAACCACGGTCTAAGGAGTTTGAGTGCTGTGATTCCGTGAGCTAGGGCAGGAGCTAGGATGAGGATCCAGTGTTTCTCACTCCTGGGCACTCCCCACCAAATTCAGCCAAGCTCAACAGGAGCGAGCAAGCAAATCTACAGGGGAAGAAATGGCGTCGTGTGATACTTACCCATGCGAGGCAGGCATGGGCCTTTGAGTCCATTGCTGTTTTGAATCCCCTGGCCTCCCCTCATGTTCCCAAGTGCTGGCGAAAGCCGACTTGTCTCCCCATGCCTCAGAGCTCAGGGTTGACACCAGTGTCCTCTTCTCACGGCACCTGGGCCCACTGGGGCTCACATTATGCTGTTCTTACTCACCCCAGAACATTTATTGAGTACTTGCTGTATGCTAGGAGAAGTAACAAGAATAATATGCTGTCTCCACCAGCAGGAGTTGAGGATCCAGTGAGGCTGGGGGTGGAAGGCAGACAAGTAAACAGAACCTTCTAGCACAGTGGCTTCTCACTTCCAGCACCAGCCACTGCTCAGTGTTTGATAAATGCTGGGCACAGCCTGCCTGCCCAGAGCTCTTGTCAGGATTAACAACAGCAAAAAAGAAAGGGCGGGTCAGAGAGAAGAACAACTAACAACTTCTCTAATCTGAATTTGGTGGTGGTTCTATTTCAGGAGTTATGAAGATCCTCAGGCCTTGATTCAGGTGTCTGCAAATGCAAGTAGGGCTCGGTAGAGTAGCCAGAGACTATGGTTGAATTTTGAGGATGCTCCAGGAGTGCAATTTTGACCCTGCAGGAACCCCCGCCCTGTTTTGTCCTAGGATAGTTCATGTGCTCGATATTTCTCTTCTTGCAGCAAGGCTTCGATAGGAACATGCTGGGAACCTTAGCTGGGGCCAACAGCCTGAGGAACTTCACCTCCCGATTCTAAACAGAGGCTGTCCAAGCAAGTTCGGCTTGCAGGTAAGAATCAGCCCACCGCCCCCCCACCGACCCCTGGGGCAGGGGGCACCTCTAGGACAACTGTGGTGGCCTCAGCCAGTCTCAGAGAGAGGGGCCTGGCCTATGCTCCCCAGGAATGTAGGAAGCATCCTTGTCCCGGGAGACACAAGGGCTGCAAGGGTAGCTGTGTGGACTGCTTGACCAGAGGGTCACGGGCTGTCCCACCCCAGGGCATTAGGGATGGGCAGTGTCCTGGTAGCGTCAGCAGGGCCAGACGTCTGGGCAGGGCTGCTGCGTACAACCGTGTACATTGCGTGCTGCACAACCCAGGTGGTGTCATCCACATGGACTACGGTATGAACGCCCCCTCCCTCCCAGAGTTATACCACGTGTCATTCTGGGTCTGAGCATCCACGGTTGACTTTCTTATCCTTTTCAATCCACTTCCCAGTCTCTGCACATACCAGTGTGGATAAGCTTACTTCCAGCTGATGACCTAGGGGCCAAAAACTCAGAACCAGTATCTGTGACAAAGGCTCTCCGAGCGTTCATCAGAATGACCTGGGATGCTTACTAAAATGCACGCCCCTGACCCCAACCCCAGCAATTCTGACTCGGTAGCTCTGGGATGGGGTCCAGGAATGTGCCTTTTTAAATAAGCTTCCAAAGTGTTTCTGAGGCAGGTAAGCCAAAGACCACATTTAGATATTCAAACCAGACACTGTCAAACCTAGAGAGGGTCGCCAGAGGCAGCCCTGGTGTGGAGCCATCTGCAAATAGCTAGGGATGAGGACAGGGCCTCTGAGCTGAAGGGGACATCTTAGTGCCCCTGGCTGTCTGCCAGGCCTCCTCCCCAATCCTGGGGCCTGAAGAGGGTCCTAGTAGGGGAGAGGGCCGTAACTTTGGCCCAGGTGAGGATTGATAAGACTTCAGATGCCCTCTCCTGGCAGATGAGCTTCAACATGAGGACAAATAAGGGGGGAAGACTGAACTCAGCAGGTCCCGCGTGAGCTTGGCCCAGATGCTCAGCTCTGGTCTGTGTTGGTGGAGTGGGGCGGGCAGGGGATGGCAGTGGGGGACAAAACTGACAAGCCTGTGAATCAACAAAAGCAACCTATGAATTCATCACGGGTGGGCCTGAATCCAGTCTGAGGCCTGCGTACACCTGAGATGTGGGCAAGAGGAGGGCAGCTGTATTGGCCGGCCTTACTGGTGTGGAAGCTGCTCATGATAAATGCTAACTTGAGGACTTCTCCTTTTCCAGAACTGATATGACCCAGCTGAGAAGACCTCAGGCCTTGCTGGGTGGATGATTCTGTTCACCCTGTGCAGTATTTGGAAAAGTTCAAATGCAGCTGAGAGCAAACCCGACAACTGCACGACAGAAATATTTCTAGATTCTTTTTTTTTCTTTGGGGGAACTGGCAGGCAGTGAGGGTTGGGAGGGTTGGGAGGGTTGGGAGGGGCCTTTCTTGAGTTAAAAGGGCTTATGTCTTATGTCAATACTTCTTTCTCTGAAAAATGGTATATATATGTGTATAATGTAAGTGTGTGAGTGTGAGTGTGTGTGTGCGGGTGTGTGTGTGTGTGTGCACATGAATGTCCGAAAGAACAACCATGAAATGTAAAAAGCTAGCTAAGCTGTTTTATTGAAGCTTATAAGGTGGTGTAAAGGACTATCCCGTGTTTCTTACTCATAGACAAGTATGATGTGCTTTTTGGTTAGATGCCCATAGTTACTGAAATATATTGTGCCAGAGCAGGGGACCCTCGCCAGGGTCAGGCATGCAGAGGAGTCCTGTGGGCCCCCTGCCTGATGTCTCCCAGGGTCTGGGGTAGAAAGAAGAATGACCGGGGCTGGGGCTAACCTCCCCGCTTAGAAGGCTGTTTTGCAGGAAGGGATGTTGCAAAGGTGTTGAGGTTCAATATATCTAGCGGGAAACAAAATAATAATGAGAAGGCCGTCCTTCCCACAGTGCCACCAGGACTGGGGTCAGGCAAGGTGTGAGCCTCTGGAAGATGAGCAAGGACAGTCACTCCGGTTTTGCTATTTGAGGTCTGTCCTGGGGAAGTGGAAGCCAGAGACATGGGTCTTCTGAGCAGGCTCAGTTACAAAGCCCCTGCCTTCAGGGGGCTTGTCATCTACCTGCTGTAGGAGAAAGAAGGCAAAAGTGTGCTCAAAGCCAAAGAACTCTTCTGAGAATGGCTGCTTGGTGTCACGTTCCCAGTGGAGAAGGAATTGGGCATTGATCGACCTGTCCCAGCTTCCAGTGGACCAGGGGTGTAGGTATTAGAAACGATGTAGGAGGATGCTGAAACTCAAGTGAGAGAAGGTTTGGGAACTTGGATAGACCAGAAGAGGGAGCGGCATGCCAGAGCCCCAACAGCCCTCGCCCCAGCAGGAGGCCTCTCTCCGTTCCCCTGAGCCCCAGCCGTCCTTGTCTCCTCTTGTTTTGGGGGGTACTCCAGGGGTTGAGATCAAAGAGGTCTGCCGGGGGTACCAGCCACCCCCAAGACCCCAGACTCTTGCGCATTTCTGATGAGTAGTAGAAGGGCCTCGGGGTCTCATCGGAAAACCTTTCTATGTAAATAGCCTTTAGTACAAGCTGTAAAATAGGTGAGCAGAGGGTCCCCAAGGCTTTTCTTGTTTCTGCCTCCACCTCCCATGCTGGCACTGTTGGGATTAGATAGGAAGGCACTAACATGGCCGTATCCTTCTCTAGAAAATGTTCCTCACGCTTTCTCCTTCATCCAAGTCCCCTCCCCTTCTGTATCACCCACGGCCAACCGAACTTCTTACCCCAGCAGTCGGAACTGAAGAACACCTTCTGGACTCAGGATGTACCTATTAAGAGATGCAACACTGAGACTGAGGGGAGGGATAAGGAAGGCCAGAAATGCAGCCACGCTGTTCCCGGAGAGCTTGCCCTGCCTTTTAGCCAGGTGTCCTTGGTGCTGTGGTTCTGAGTGTTCTTCCCTCGCTCCTCACTCAGGACCCAAGGCCCACGCCTGGCTTATTCCTCCCTCTCAGGCGCCCTCTTCCAGTCAGCAGTCCCAGAGGACTGCATTTCTTAAACAATATTTATTGAGCGCCCACATGTGCCAGGCAGTGTTCTGAACACCTAGGATACATCAGTGACCAGAATAGACCAACCCCTGTCACAGTCTCATGAAGGGAGGAGGAAACATGGGGTCCGTGACTTTAGGGATCCGCCAGTCTGAGAGGACTGCCCAGTCCAGTCAGGGCACAAGGGAAATAAACCGTGACAAGAAAGCCTGTCACAACCCCCAGGGCACTGCCTTGACTTTCTTCAGCCCCTCAGCTCATCTTCCTCCCCAGTCACAGGAAATAGTCAGGTGGGCCCAGCCCTCTGCCGTGGGGGGCGGGGTCGGCTTTCTCAGATGTCAGCGGGCTGAGGTGGGCAATTAGGCCAACCCTGATTTTAATAACTTCTCTCAGGCCGGCCAGCTGGGCCTGTCACCCAGATCCCTGGGCCATGCCTGTCACTTTGGAACAGGCAAATCTGAAGGGGGTTTGAGGATGCCTTTCCCAGAGAAGGGGAATGAGGGTCTGCCGAGCTTTATGTATTTGAGGTATGTTTCAGTGTTGTAAGCCCACACTGACCTCATACTACCAGGGATGACGCCCAAAACTAAACATTCCCATTTGGGGCCAAATGAGGAAGGTCATAGACCACTTCACCTCTCCCGTCCCTGCCCTGACCCCGGGATCTTCTGACCTGTGTTTAAGACATATCCAATCATTGGCCCCTAGTAACCTCTCCAGTGGGGTCTCAGGAATCCAAGAGGATCAGTGATGCTCCCCTCGCCCACTGTGGAGACTTACTAAGAGGCGGGATGGTGGGTGGCCAAGTCTGGGACTGTGGGATGGGCAGGGGAGGACACCTTGCCTTGCTCTGTGTTTTTGTAAGAGCCTTGTGCTGGCCAGGTCCGGTTGCCCTGTGTGGTACGCTATGTATTTGCTTTTTTGGAAATAGAGGAAATCAATAAATTGCTGGAGTTTCTTTGAATTTTTTCAAGTAGTGGATTATTTGGGGTGCTGTTGAAGAATGTGAGGGTGCTCACTCCCTGCTGGGATCATCTCTTACGGACCCCGTAACAGGCAAGGATTGCGAGTGCCCCTGAGGGAGCGGGACAACGCCATCCCTGCACACCTGCTCTGCATTAGCACATTTGAGCCTCACAATAGCACAGTGATGGTAGTATGGCTGTCCTAATTCTACAAGTAAGTACAGTGAGACTTAGGGAGGGAACAAATATGCCCAAGGTCACACAGCTAGTAAATGGAAAAGCCACACCAGTATGAACCCCCTCGCCCCCACAAGGCAGGGTACCTGAGAGAAAGAACTTCAAAGAGGTAAAAGGAGCCCGGGTGTATTGAATGTGTACTCCACCCAGATGCTGTATCAGGCATGGTTGTTGTTAGCTGCCATCAGATTGGCCCCCAACTCTTGGCGACCCCATGCACAACTGAACAAAACACTGCCCAGTCCTGAGCCATAATCTTGATGGGTTGTGGACTGGACCGTTGGGATCCATAGGGTTTTCATTAGCTGAATTTTAGGAAGTAGATCACCAGGCCTTGCTTTCAGTCCATCTTAGTCTGGAGACTGCTGAAAACCTGTTCAGCAACACGAAAGCCTCCGTTGACAGACGAGTGGTGGCTGGGCATGAGGTGCACTGGCCAGGAATTGAACCCAGCTATCCTGCATGGAAGGCAAAAATCCTGCCACTGAACCACCAATGGCCTTGTATCAGGCACTAAACCAAAAAACCAAACCCGTTGCCATCGAGTCGATTCTGACTCATAGCGACCCGATAGGACAGAGTAGAACTGCACCATAGGGTTTCCAAGGAGCAGCTGGTGGATTCGAACGCCAACCTTCTGGTTAGCAGCCAAGCTTTTAACCACTGTCCCACCAAGGCTCTTATCAGGCACTGAAAGGTTACAAAAACAAAGAACACAGTGGGCCCCAGCCTCAAGAGGCTCACGGGGACAAGAC